TAGAACTGCATCTTCCAAATTTTGAACACTTACTTTTCAGTTTGTCATGCTGCAACCCTGTAGTACACACATCGTTCCTATTACTTCTTGCATATTAATGTTAAAAACAGGAGAGGACTGGATTTTCTATGTCTGATGCCTCTGGTTCACAGAGTTCTTCGTCGATTTTTACCCGACTTTGATTCGTTTTTTGTATGTTTCCTTATTGAAAAATACGTGGACGAGGTGAGGAACGTTCTGAAAATATAACACGATCGAATGCCTTTTCACGATCTGGGAAACAGACAATAAGTTCGACTAAGATTCACAAAATTAAATTGGAAAAATTTGGCCCCACTTATATATTTTGTTTTGAAAATATGTTTTTTAAAAACGATTTATTCGCAAGTTCTACAAATCAAGTCTTAATGGTACGGCTTATGAATAGAGAATGAATTTAACAATAATGGTATGTCATAAAGAAAAAAAAAGTGCTTATGAAGTCTTCCCGGATTCCGGGAGAACGGAAATATGGGTTTCTCCAGAATTGGCTGCTGACTTGGCTGTATCCGTGGGAAGGTGTGTTGGGCTGATGGCGTAACTCCGCACACGTTTTTCAATGGTATTAAGTGTATAGTTTTTGTGGATCCAATTTAATATACAGAGTGTTTCAAAATTAGAATACGACTCCAAAATTTAATTTTTCAAAAGCAAACCGTTTTTTTGTTGGATTTCGGCACTATGCAAAAAAGTTTCCAGTTTTTTTTATGTGACATATCCTATAGGGATTTTGTTTTTTTGACAAACAGGAGAATATAAATAGAGCGTATGTTGCATAAAAGTATTAGGAATTTTACGTGGAATCCACAAATCTACTGAAAACTGGAGGTTTTCATCTCAGAAATTTTTTTACATCATATTGGTATATTGATAATAAAACACTTCTTTAGTTTTTCTCATTTTCACCCTCATTTCGTTCCAGCTTGTTGTTGTGGATATTTGTTTGTTTTATTTGTCTTCGCACAAAGACTATACCAGTGCAAAATCTGCAGGATTTGGATTCTTGTTGTTTTTTCTTCAGATTTATGTCTTTCATTTATGAAGTTTTTATCTTATTGCTGATTATTGTTGTGCTTGTGTACTCCGTGACATATTCTTCTTATATTTTTGCGGCCCTCTATTTCCATCTAATTTTAATTCCTTTATTTCTTTTGTTTTCAGCAGTTATTTTTTGTGTTACTTCATGGGTTTAATGCTGCTTTATAGGCTATGTGTTTTACACTTTTGTTGCCAATGATGATTGTTCCATTACCTCGTCCTCAGCATTGCCCAAACAGGAGATTTCCATATTCAGATATCGACATCTATATACACGGTGACTCACAACCGTATGGACATAGAGCTGGGGCGTGTAGAGGACCTCAAAACAAATCGAGTTTCCATTTAAGTTCTTTTCTCAGGCCCATGGTTAACGAGATACAAGGTGTTAAAGTATCAAAGAAAATTTGGTATTTTCTCTTTAACTCCTAGTCTCTAGAAAAAAGAACACAGTCTAGATTTTCACAACCAGTCGCCCTACTAACGGGTAAAGGGTCCAAACAATAGCCTACGTTAAAAATTTGAGCAAAATATCTCATAAACTGTAGGGCCTAAAGAGAACCATGGGCTTGAAAAAAAAATTAAATGGAAACTCGATTTGTTTTGAGGTCCTCTACACGCCTCTGCTCTGTCCATAAGGTTGTGAGTCGCCTTGTAAATACATACTCTATAAATAATCCTTATTTCTTATCGACCCAATCGGTCTTTCTGCCCAATCGGCATCTAATTTTTGGAAAGTTTAAAAAATTTCCGGGCTTATAAGCCGTGGTCTATTGGAATTACTTCCTCACGTTTCGTTCCCATCTGCAGTGGGTAGGAAACCATCTAGGAAAGGTAGACTCCCATGATTCTCAATTTCCATGGTGAATTGAGTTTTTGGATTCAATGAGTTAAGGTGGTTAATAAACCTGTGAAGGTCTCCTTCCCCTTGTCTACAAATCAATAAGTTATCATCAGCATATCTGAAGCAGCACTTCGGTTTCTTTTCTGCCAGCGCCAGACCTTTTTGCTCAAAGATCTCCATGAAGGATTTGACTACCACCGGACTGAGTGGACTCTCCATGGCTACAACATCAGTTTGTTCGTAGAAATCACTCTTCAATTGGAAAAAATGTCGTCGTAAGGCAATGTCTAAACAGCTTGGTTATTTCGCTATAAAAAAGTTGTTTTGTGTACCCCATGGACTGTTCCATCGGTACCATCGTAGACAGTGAAACCACTTCGAAGCTCATGAGCATGTCCGACTTGTAAGCCTGGAGAATACCGTGTCTTAAAATTGTGCTGAAGAGTGTTGATGCCGCTCTGTGTGTTCATGTGCCGAGACACCTGGCCTTTTACGGCACGGCACTTTGAACAACACTCAATATCTAACCTCATTCAAGATGTCACACTTTGTTCGTCGTTCGATTGCAGTTCGTGAACGCCACGCGCAGTTACCATATGGTTGATTACCTCTAGGCAGGGATTATTTTACGTTAAAAAGCCGGACGAACGAAGTGCTCAAAATACTTGTTTTAGGCCTGTTTAGGGTAACACAGTGAATTTTAACACAAAGATCTGGGATTTCGATATTTCAACAAAGCAAAAAGGCAAATGCTTGCTTTTCGGTTACTACCAGATTGCATAAAAAATCAGTCGGCGAAGAAGATAAAAAAACTAACTTAAATGGATTTGTCAGCCCTTGCACACAGAAGGGAACAAAAGTCATTCGGTCATAATTAATGGCTGACCCATCAGCTTTGTGAGAAATAGGAAGAGAATAGCAAGGAAGAAAAATAGCAAGAAAACATGTTGCCACTTCGTTCAATCCTTTCAGTAAAACAACGCAATCGGCGTGTGTCATAGTCTCTCTTCAGTAAAACCAAAAGAACAAATATTGAACGCGCTGCTTGAAGCTGCTCAGATTTTCTGGAGCAGGCGACAATTCCTTACGAGAGGATGTTTCTATTCGAAAAACTCAGTTGATAGTCGCAACTCATTTTTGGCTCATTTTGTCTGATTTAAAATATTTTTACTAAAATGAGAGCCCCAAACACAAATCGGAGTTTGGCTTGAATATTTTACGTTAATGCCGTAAACCTTAGCACTACATAAGTGCAACAAAACGAAATCATTAAAGAGGAAGAGGAGAAAAAATAACACGAGAAATATAAAAGTTTTTGACGCACGAAGTGCGCACATTTGAAAAATATCCTATATGATACAGAGTGTCTCAGAAAAGCGAGGCAAGATCAAAGTGTGTTTTTTAAAATAAAACTACCCATTTTTCATTAGCTGATCGAATGCAGCTTGAAACGCTGCATATGCACCGTAAATTGTTTTTCATTACTTGCAATGTTAGCCGATTATCGCCATTTTAGTAAAATTTTGCTTAAAAACATGGTATCTAAAACTTCAGTGTAGAAGCAAAAACAAGCAGCTAAAAATATAAAAAGTCCATCTTTCCAATCGCCACAGATCCGTTAAAAATTCTATTGCCTTACGACTACCTTACTACCACCTTACAAAATGTAACAACTTATTGAAATTTTTGAATAAAATAAACTCTAATTTGAAAACGGTTCATTTCACAGCTTAAAGTGTAAGTGCAGTGTGTTTCTTGCAGTAAAAATATGAAAAATTCGGAAGACCGTTAATTTTTTTTTTTGTAAGGGGAACACTAAATTCGTATTTTTAGCCTCCTTGTTTTAGCCCCTAAGGAAGGGTAGATCACCCTTAGAATCTCAAATAGGAAGCGGGTCAAGTGGCACATCGTTTTAAAGGTCGTTCAATTATCTTTACATAAGTGCTTCGTAGTTACTTTGATGCTTTTAGTCCAGCGGTTTCCGAATAATCGGGTTTGAAAATTGTAGAAACAATTAGACTTGCCTGCACTGATACCTTCGTTTGTAGGTTAGTGTTTACACAAAAACTACTGTATTGGGCCTCCTTGTAATACAAATGATTAGAATAGTAGGTTACACTGTTAAAATCGTTAATTATTTAACTTTAAATGTTTAATAACAGGAAGAAAATCTAGTTTAAACATTGATTTATTACTTTTGATTTTGATCTTATTTCTTGATTAATTTACATCAACAACCATAACTTTTTATTTACGGAAGATAAATTCCTACAAAAAAACCTATGGGAAGTTGTTCAAGTGTTGTCAATTTTCCTGTAAACAATAATAAATGCTGTAACCTAACATTTCAGTAAACGAATTCTTCTACAATTCGACTTTTAAGATCATCAGTATCAGCACGTTGTGTTTTATAAACAATGGACTTAAGATGTCCCCAAAGAAAGACGTCTAAGGGTGTTTAATCCGGTGATCTTGGAGGCCATTCAATTGGCCCCCTACTGTCAATCGATCTCTCCGGCAATATCTTTTCATTGCTAGGGAGAGTTAAAAAATAGACTTTATTATTGTTTACAAGTCCATTTACAATAAAACCATGGGTTTTATTGGCAAGTTTAATTGCTTCTGTAACTTTGAACCGCGATTATTCGAACACTTCAGGACAAAAAGCAACAAAGTATTAACTACTATACAGAGAATTGAACGCCCTTTATACGTAAGCCCATAAAAAATGATGACCTCCTTCCCTTTAAAGATTCTCAGGGTGACATCAACCCCCCCCTAAGGAGTTGAATTGAGGAGGCTGAAACATTCATTTAAACTGTCTCCCTTACAAATAAAATTGACGGAGATTTTTCATATGTTTAATTGCAAAGAAGATATTAAGGGTGGAAAATTTTAAAAGTGACGCCCGGTATAATTCCACGTCGCTCTTCAACCACTCAACCTGGGCATTGAATACGTGGAACAAGACGAAGTCAATAATTGTGCACATTCGAGTGGGAGAACGATTTTATGAGAAATGAAGACAATTGATTTTTCTCCGTCTATTGAACGCATTTATTTGTTCCGTCCTGTTCCACCCATATATTTTCCTGGTCCAATTTTTGGCTTGAGCTTAACATTGATTTTTATAGCAAACGAACTCGACCAGAAGTAAAAATTTCAAAATTATCGGAGAGGCCGCAAAACAGTTGGCAGAAAAACCAGGTCGATTCGTTATTAGTGAGGAGGGAATAAATCTTTACCAGTTTTTGCCGTACGATCATCAGCTGTTCTATCATTATCGAGGCTCCTTAACGACGCCCGATTGTAAAGAATTCGTGCACTGGATCGTTCTGAAAAACACTGCCAATATAGCTTATTTAGATGTAAGGATTTGGTATGAATTCCTATTAATTTCATGTCAGTATATTTTTTTGCTAGTTGAAGAATATTACCAATATTCGTGGCGCTGATGGAAAAATGATCCACACGAATAATAGAGAGCTGCAAGAGTTGAATAATAGGGTTGTGTCCATTAGGCGCATTCGGTAGCAGTTTACACATTGTTAATGTTAAGAAACAATTTCACTTTTCATTTAATTTACGACAGTGCTTTACAGTCCCCGCAAAAAACTTTATTAACACCCACAGTTGGATCATAAACAAATTTCAAACTGAGGCCATAACTAAACAGCGAATTGCAGCTGATACGGAGGCAAAAAAGTGCTCGTAGCTCGACGGGACAGACAATTATTGGATTCAGTACGCACAAATAATCTGAATTAAATATATAACCCCAATAAATCGAAGTAGCGAATTTCACACGGACGTTTTAATTCGTTAAACAAAAATGCCTTTCAGAACGTAATAAATTATGTAACAAAAGAACGGTCTTGTGGGACCCGAGTGTTTTGTCCACCAAAGCATGCGAAGGGAAATTTTCAGGAAAAAGCTTAGTAAACCGCGTTTTATCATCTGGATCAATCAATCAATCATACAGTGGATCTTTGCCTCCCAAACTTGTCTCTTTTTTATATTTGTTGAATTTTCAGCTTTCGGTGTTGTGTTCTCTCAGACTTAGCCATTCAAGGCCTTTAGTGTTTACGAGCTGGTCCATGCAAGTACCTTGATGGGTTGAGGGTGGTGGTTTGCGGTGTTTGTGGGGTTGAGAGCGAAGAAAAGTAAAAACGAAAACGAAAAAAATAGTGGCTTGTGGCAGTTAATTTTAAAATTTTGAAGAGTCCTTTTGAAGGCTTACGTGTTTTCAGAATTTTCAGTAGGGTTTCAGCTGCTTAAGGCGGTGATTCCAGGAGGTCTGGCATTAAGCTTGTCGGGGTTTGGAAGCGCTGGTTCGGGATAGTTTGGGAAAACGTGTCTTTCATTAGTGGGTTTGGGTGGTTAACGACGCGGGTTTTGAAATTCTGGTGGCGCCTTTAATTTCTTTTAAGTCCCATTCTAAAAATGTTTTTTTTTGTAGGGGGCGTGTCCTGTTAAAAAGGCCACTATCCTCCTTATTTTTTGCCTGTTGAGATCTAGCAGTTCACTTTTACGCACTGGTTGTAGAGGTCTCACCAACTGCCTTGCGGTAAGGAGTCGCGGTGTCTCCTCGCAGTACTTTCTATGTTGTTCCAGATCCACTGCCCAACTCCCGCCCTAACATGGGCATCAAATATGCCACAAGTAGGTTCTTGGTTGCTCAGTGGTTGCTCGGCCGTTGCCTTAGCAAGTTCCGCAGCAATCTCGTTTTCTTTGCTCCTGTTTGTCTCAGTTGCCCAAGCGAGTCCTACTCTGTTTAAGCTCCCAACCAGGGTCATAAATTCTTTTATACCATCTAGCACACATTGTGACCTGATTGTGTACGATTCAAGTGCCTTTATGGTGGCTTCATCTCCGGATACGATGAAGAGTGCATGCTCTTTCCCTCATTTTCCGGGCGCAAGTTGTTATCGCTAGAATACTTCCTTGAAAGGCGGTCGTGATTGTACCCAGATTTAAGGTAATTCTTTCCCGAATTTTTTCTCTTTCGACTATACCAGCGCCTGTGCCCGACGCTGTTTTTGTGCCTTCCGTATAGCATACGGAGTCCCTTGTGGTAGCTGATGGAGTCGCTCCACCATTTCGCCTCTCATTTAGAACATATGTTCGGTAAAACTGTCGGGGGTTTGGTGGTCGTTTGTGTCGTCGTGCCGTGGCTCTGTCTAGTGCGTAGTTGAGGGGCTTGCGTCCCTCGGGGTTCGTTTTTCTGCAGCCCCAGGAAGTGTTCTTGGAGTTCAGATCTCTAGCGAGTAGTGTCACGATGTTTTGTTTGAATAGATTCGTGAAGTCTAGTTGGGACGTGCCTTCGTTGGGGGGTGGTTAGGCCGAAATAATTAAAATTTGCGAGTTTTCCGTGTTGTGGAAGTGTGAGGGAAGTATGTTCGATTGTCGTGTGAGTGATGGAGGGTTTGGAGAGTGGGAAATTGGAATTTTTGATTATAATGGCAGTGCCTCCCCCTCGGCTGTTGGGGCGGTCGTTTCGATAAATTTTGTAGTTGTTGATTTAACCCTCCAGGGAGCGCGCGCGCGGCAAAATGCCGCCCTTTTTAGATTTTTTGTTATAAATACTATGCATTAAAACTGACGCCGTCGTTTTTCCAGGTATTCGTTCGGGATACATTTCTCCCTTCATTCCTATATTGAACAGACCCTATTTCGGTCGGCATTAGTTGCAGAGTGGCATTTAGTAAGAGTGTGCAATTTTTGCGGCTAATTTACTCCCGCGTGCCTGGTCATGTAAGTATAATAATAATATATTTATGGCGTTTTTTGTTACGAATTGAGCATATGTTGATACATATTTATCGTGTTTGGTTCTTTATGGGGACGTATTGTAGATGTATGTCGTTTAAGCTAAAAAAAATTTATATAGATTTTAAAATTTTTGTTAGAGGTCGAAAAAAAATTGGATCCGGACAAATTAAAAAAATCGTTGCCATAGGTGGTGAGATAATTAGAAGATAAGCAGAATAAGATTTACAATAGAGCATTAACGTGAACAGAAGTCACGTAATAGATGACGATTTTGACAGCGATTCAGATCAGGAGCCAGAAGTTACTGAAAGTAACGTTTATAGTAGTGATTCCGAACAATAAGCAGATGAAGGAGAAGCAGAATTTGAACCACGGGCCCAGACAAAGATTATCAATTTTTTATTGAAAAAAACAATGATACGTACTACTTTATTTTTAGATTTTTTACATATCTATTTAATTTTGTTAGCATTTTTTCAAGTATTATTTGTAGAATTGCATCTATTTTTGGTTACTTGTTTTAATTTCACTTATTAAATACATTTTAAAGTAATGAATGACGTTTTTTTTAAAGAAAAGCATTTGCAGTGCAATAGCCGCTCGTGAGATTTTTAAAGGCGCGCCCGCTAGAACCCTCCAAAAGAAAGAAAGATAATTTGGCTTTAAAGAATGTCCACATCGTTTTCGCAGAGGTAGCCTTCAAATTCATGCCTTTCGGGGAATAACAAGTTGGCATTCCGGGAGACGATGTGGACACCCGCGGGTTTTAAATTCATGCCAGTGCTTTAAGAGCCGGGCAATTGCCAATCATGGCGGCAATACGATTTATTTTGGCCTGAATTTCGGTCTCAGGCATGAGCAGGAGTTACATTATGGCTGAGTTAAGATGGGTGTTTTGTGGTTCGCCGGGTGCTTTTTGTGCTGTTTTTACATGGGGGTTTGAAACTACGGGCTTTGGGGGCACTTGGTTTTGGGCTGCTTTGGTGGCGTAGGAGATACCAGAAGACACTTTATTTTGGAAGCTGGCAATGTTAGATTTTTCTTGCCTTTGAGCAAGGAACTTTGGATTATTGAGACAAGAGAAGTACTCTACTTAGAGTTTTTTGGTCCCCGATTGTGGGAATAACAAGGGTATAGATTTAAGATTTAAACGTATTTTGTAGGCAGCAACGTTCATCGGGGATGCGTCACGCGCTCATTATACGAGCGTGGGTGGGTTTCCTGCAATGCTGGATGAATGAGGGTCTTCTTTCGGTCGCTGGTTGTTCCGGACCGGTTTCTTTGGTGGTGGCTTTGCTGGGTAAGAGAATTTAGGGTCCAATGGCGAAAGTTTGGATGGATCACCGAAAAGCAACGGCTGTCGCAGACCGTGATGCATAGTCATTAATTGCAAGTAGAGCATCCCTAGAGTCTGTCCACACTACTGCGCAATCATCCGTTTTGCAGAAAGACTGTAAAATTACCAGGACCTTTCCCATGGCTGCAATCTTCCTGTTATTCACACTCTTACCACCCTCGCAGTACCTGGAGGTCAATCCGTGGAGGTCATCCGGTACGCCATTCCCATTCCAATGAGTAGAGGCCTGTGTCATGCCTCCGGCTGATTCTTATCTCGGGAGGCGGACGCCTTGTTCAAGATAAACATCATAAAGCCAGTGGTGCTGAAGTAACAAAAAAACGTCGTTTTGTCCAACTGAGAGCATGTGCCACTTTCTACAATTTGGCTTTGTTTTATTTCCCACCCCGAAGCAACTTTATATGGACAATATCTTATTTACAAAAACACGCACTAACCGAAAAAAAAACCTTTGCACAGAAATCAAATCGTTTTCAAATCAGTTTGTATAATTTTTTTCAATTGTTTATTCATATCTTCCTTCCCTCAGCCTCAGAAAAAATATAACGAAACACAGAGCCAACTCATATTTAAAAGCCGAATGAATATTAACCGTTTATTTTAAGTTTTACGTATATCAAAGTGACCAAAAATGCAAAAATATGCTAAAAATTAATGACTTACAATTACAATTTTACAATTACAATTCCTAATTTTAACTCGCCACAAAATTGGCTTTGGCTCTAACAGCACTAACTCTTAGTTAGTCGCACTAAGGGAATATTTGTTTGCACTAAGGGAATATTTGTTTGCACTTAAGACATTGGAAATTGCAATAAAATGTAAAATAAATAATAAACAATGTGCGTCCGTCAACAAACTGATAAATCGCAAGCGAGAAAATATACTTTTGGAACAAATCTGGTATATTACGCTGGGGAAACAAGAGCATTGTCGTTTTCATGGCGACTAATATGTTGCTCTCACTCCTGAGTAGTTAGTTTTCGACGTTTGAACAATGAACAAGTGATTCGTTCGCTCTCTTATCGTGAATAAAATTGATATTAAAGGATATCATCCTCGGCGAGTGGTGTCCGGCGACCGTGCCAAGGTCGTTTAAGTTATCGCGAGATATTTAAAAAAACACTGATAAAGGGAATGTATTTTATTAGTCCCCAGTAATGCAAACAAGCCAAATATTACTAGAAAAATATCAACGTACCCAAAATGAGAAGATTTTATGCAATAGCTGGAAATCAGCTGAGCAAGAAAAAATGAATGCTACATACAAGGTGGAACAACTACAATCCCAGTTGGAAAAAACACATAAAATGTATGATAAATTAAACAAAATAGTCAAATATAGAAAAAAAACTGCATAGCCACGCCGAAGAAAGAGGGACAGGTGAATATCATACCGATGAAGAGGAGTTAGCGAAGGAGACAGAATGGATTCGTACAAAAAATTGGAAAAAAAGGAAAATGGATACTTCGCTTACACCACCACAACAACAAACCAATAGGCCGAATGTAGAAAAGCCTAAAAACATTCAAGCACCGCCGCCTATCATAGTGGACAATATTATAAATTTTAATGAACTCCATGCTATTGTGACCCAATTTCCTGGTGCCCAGATTAAAGTAATTCATGATAAAAATATTAAAATTAATGTACAGTATGAGACCAACTATAAAA